ATGGTTTCAGGGTGGGGAGCTTGCACATTTACAAGTTTTCAAAAAAAAGGAGGGTAGCTGTGAACCCGAGGACTATCCTAATATTTCATTTGATTTGTTTTATTGTCCCATACAAGAATATATATGGTTTAGGAGTAGGGATCTCAACCGTTTACAAGATAGAAGCAGATTATCAAATTGAAGGGGGGTAGGGGTAAGAATAGATATGATTAACGGACACTTAATTATCTACAAAATGTCTAATAATGAACAGTAAATTCCAAACTTCATTTATACAGTAATACTAGTAAGTTTCAAACTGTATATATACAGTCCTACAGATCTTATCAGAAAACAGAAAATTTTCAAATAAATCTGTCACTCCAATGATTATCATATGCTAAAATATTTCCAAGATCTAATTGATAATGAAAATAAATCATTATCATATGCTGAAATATTTATAATATCTAATTGAACAGAACTATGGTTGTTTAACATAGTACTCTAACATAATTAATAAATAAATGTAATAATCTTCAAAATGTCTAATGATATAGCTTATAATCATTACCACTTAGGAAATAGATAATTTTCAAATAAATCTGTCACTCCAATTTTTATTCTGAGATAAGACAAATCATAACATACTAACAACAGTAAAATATTTAAAAATTCTACTTTTGGATATTAAAAATGGCGATAACTCACAAAGGAGATATACTAAAATCTTGAAAATTAATAGAGACCTTCATTAAGTCCCAGGAAACAACATATTTAAATTTGAAAAAAAAATTATTAAAGCGTTTTCATGTTATTGTGCGGACACTGTTTGGCAGCCGCCAAACCGCCCAGCCGCCCGCCGTATATCACCATTTTAATAACCGATATTTCCTTCGAAAATCCGGTTAAAAACGAAAACGACGAACAAACACAAGAAAGAAAACTAATGACTGAGCAACCCGAACCCCACGATCGCCGGTGCTTCGGAAGTAGATCCTGCTCCACATGTGGCATCCGTCAGGTTGCTAAGATTAGACGATAAGTCACATACAGTGATGTCACAAATGAAAAAATGTTGGCACATGTTATATATATATATATATAGCACGTCTTTTACAGATTAACGTATTAAAAGCACGTATATGTGTAGCTTTAGCCAATTTAATCTTATTTATGTTTATGGGTAAGGTGTGGTTATACATGTATATGCTTGTTTAAAGAGGGGCTATATGAAAGGATGAAAAAATCTTTATTTAGATTCGGATATTTAAGACATCTGAAATAATTTGAGAAAGAATATCAATATTGCCGCTTCGTTTATAGACAAAGTTTTTTTTTTTGTAACTCCCCATAGACATTCCTTTCACGCATGTGCTTTAATTAAGAGAAGGTCTAAAAGTTTGAACTATGGTAGTTTAGGGTACATGGTTCCACATGAACTGCCTTTTCAAGAACTCATGATTCCATCCCTAGTTTTTAGTGGTGCTGGGGTTGTCCAGTCTTTAGGGCTGTTATTGTTGTTTGTCCTTCCGTTTTAGTTTGTTTTTTTTTAAATTTTTGGCCATGGTTTCATCTGTTTCTATTGGACTTCCGATTTTTTAATGCCCCTGTGGTATATTGTTCTATTTTTTCCGGACAGGAATTGTCTAATTTGGTCTATGGACGACATCTACGAGTTAACAGATCCTGTTTTATGAGTATCATTTACGTATCTGCTGAATCTGCTCTGAATATCCTGGGTGTCCCACTTTGCGAATTGACTTTTTGGATTTTTTTTTCTGATGTTGTGGTCGTCCTGATTATTCGCTATTAAGAAAGCATCAAGCAATCAAACAAACAAAAAACAAGGTATATGAGTTGCTTTATCAAACCTTGGTACGTAGTTGGTATGTAGTTATCGCCATATAGATTGTAATAAAATGCTTCGCTGAGCGCAGCCTGATACAACCGCAGAGGTTGAACCCTGAACAGTTGGGGCAATTATGGACACAATATTCAGGCATGATACTGTCTGAATTTGGATTGTGATCAAATTTTTCAAATAATATAGGTTTCTGACATTAAATAAATGTGGTCGAAGATCTTAATAAAATGCTCCGCAGGGCGCAGCTTGATACGACCGCAGAGGTCGAACCCTGAACAGTTGGGGCAAGTATGGACACAACATTCAAGCTTGATACAGCTCTGAATTTGGATTGTGATTAAATATTTGACACAGCATAGGTTTCTGACACAGAATGAATGTGGTCTAAGAACTTAAAAATTTTAAATTGGACATTCACCTATTATGGTCCAATATCCAAAATCTAAATACATGGTTAGATTCAGCATATCAAAGAACCCCAAGAATTCAATTTTTGATGAAATCAAACAAAGTTTTATTTTAGACCCTTTTGACCTCAATGTGGACAAAGTTGATAACGGGGCCCAAAAATCAAAAATCTAAATACATGGTTAGATTCAGCATATCAAAGAACCCCATATATTCAATTTTTGTTGAAATCAAACAAAGTTTAATTTTGGACCCCGATTTGGACCAACTTGAAAACTGGGCCCATAATCAAAAATTTAAATACATGTTTAGATTCAGCATATCAAAGAACCCTAAAAATTCAATTTTTGTTAAAATCAAACTAAGTTTAATTTTGGACCCTTTGGACCTTAATGTAGACCAATTTGAAAACGGAACCAAAAATTAAGAATCTAAATACACGATTAGATTCGGCATATCAAAGAACCCCAATAGTTCAATTTTTGATGAAATCAAACAAAGTTAAATTTTGGACCCTTTGGACCTCAATGTGGACCAATTTAAAAACGGGGCCCAAAATCCAAAAACTTAATACACGGTAAGATTCAGCATATTAAAGAACCCCAAGAATTCAAGAATAAAACCCCATTGAAATTGATCAAGAAATAAGCAATTTATACGAAGTATCTTCTTTTGCACAATACTGTGCAATTGAATATTTCTTGATATTGCGCAATACTGTACAATTGACAATTTCTTGCTATTGCGCAATATTGTGCTATTGGATATTTCTTGCTATTGGGCAATACTGTGCAATTGAAGATTTCTTGCTATTGCGCAATACTGTGCAATTGAAGATTTCTTGCTATTGTGCAATACTGTGGAATTGAAAATTTCTTGCTATTGCACAATACTTATTATATATAATAATTTACACATCCTGTTTGGTGTGTATCTCCTACCATATCATTATTATTTGCTTTTAAATATAAATCAGAAATAACCAACTTAAAATGGAAAATTTTAAAAGAAAAAAAAGAAAAAAACCCCCCCCCCCCCCCCCCCCCCCTCCAAATTTTTTGAACCCCCTGATGATTCATCACCCCCAAACTCAATCCCAGCCTTCCCTTTGTGGTATGGTACCTTGCAGTACAATTTCAGAGAGATCCATACACTTGAACACAAGTTATTGTCTGGAAACTAGAAAAATGCTTATTTTTGGCCCCTTTTTGGCCCCCAATTCCTAAACGTTTAGGGCAATTACCCCCAAACTCAATTCCAGCTTTCCCTTTGTGATATGGAACCTTGTAGTACAATTTCAGAAATATCCAAACACTTACACACAAGTTATTGTCATGAAACTAGAAAAATGCTTGTTTTTTGCCCCTTTTTTGGCCCCTAATTCCTAAAATTTTGAGGCAATTACCCCCATAATCAATTACAGCCTCCCCTTTGTGATATGGAACCTTGTGGTACAATGTCAGAGAGATCCATACACTTACACACAAGTTATTGTCTGGAAGTTACAAAAATGCTTATTTTTGGCCCCTTTTTGGCCCCTAATTCCTTAACTGTTGGTACCATAACCCCCAAAATCAATCCCAACCTTCCTTTCGTGGTATTGAACCTTATGGTAAAATTTCATGGAGATCCATTCACTTAAACTAAAGTTAGAGTGCGAAAACCAATGTGTCTTCGGACGACGCCAGACGACGCCGGACGACGACGACGACGACGACGACGACAACGACGACGACGACGACGACGACGACGACGACGACGCCAACGTCATACCAATATACGACCAAAAAATTTTCAATTTTTGCGGTCGTATAAAAATTTGAAATGGGACATTTAATTTACCTAGTATGGTCTGATATCCAAAATCTAACAACATGGTTGGATTCAGCAGATAAAAAACACCAAAAATTTAATTTTAGTGGAATTCAAGCAAAGTTTGATTTTGGACCCTTCAATCCTAAATATGGACAAATTTGAAAACAGGGCCTAAAATAAAAAATCATTTTCTGATTAAATCAAACAAAGTTTAATTTTGGACCCATTGGACCTCAATGTAGACCAATTTATGGGGCCCAATATCCAAAATAGTAATACAAGGTTAGAACCTCCAAAAATTAAAGACTTTAGATTAATCCCATTGAAATTGGTTAAAAGATTTGTATTTATTTTCAATTGAATATTTCTTGTTATTGTGCAATACTGTGATATTGCGCAATACTGTGATATTGCGCAATACTGTACTATTGCGCAATAATGTGCTATTGCGCAATACTGTGATGTTGCACAATACTTAACTAATCTGTTATATGTAATAATTTACACACCCTGTTTGATGTGTATCTACTGCCATATCAGTATGTGTTGCTTTTAGATATAAATCAGAAATAATCAACGGAAAAATGGAAAATTTTTGGGAATAAAAAAAAAAAATTATGAAGAAAAAAAAATCCTCCCAAAAAAAGTGTTCCTATCCAAATAAAAAGTGGCGTTAAATTTTGAAAAAAAATAAAAATTTTGAAAAATCTTGTTAGTTGTGGCAGATAAATTTTATCCATCTCCCATGTAAGTTTGTCTTAAAATCGTGAATTATAACTATTTTGATCTGAGCGTCACTGATGAGTCTTATGTAGACGAAACGCGCGTCTGGCGTACTAAATAATAATCCTGGTACCTTTGATAACTATACCATCGTATCTATCAAATGCATTGTACTTAAATAAAATAAATTAACAACTTGCTACTCAGAACTACATTTTTATATTTCTTGCGACATAATGAGTGAAAATTCTTCTTGTGACGTATAAACTGACGACAGAGTCATTGTAGAAACATCCGCGTCAAATATAGGTCTTTGGCAAACTGATGATTTGGCGAATCTCACATAAACGTGAGTACTATTAAGACAATCTGTCTGACACCATCGAAGAAGAAGCTTTGCAAGCTTTGAAGAATGAAAACTCATGATAAAATTCTCCAAATAAATTTTGACTCTTTTTTCTTCGATTTCAAGTTCTGGATCTTCGTCACAAGTTGAAAACAAGTAAACAATTTTGTCAAATAACGATAATGCAGATGGGGTCAATGCTGAATAAAACATGAACACATCTTTTTCTTCCACGTTCTGAAATAAATTACCATGAATTGTTTGTAAACCACATCTTATCTGGGATAAACACCAATATGGTCTTTGAATCAACGAAAACTTCGCTAATTTCATCAGACATTCGTTTAAGGTACTTGGGTCAGGTTTTGTTGTGTTTCCATAGGAACGCAGAGTCCGGCAAAGATTTACCTGTGTAGCTAGGTCGAATATTGCAACTCCAGATCGTATTTCTGCTTTCGCTGCTGCAACAACGTTTTTCTGGTCATCTGAAAGCACCTTTTGAAATGACTCTGCAAGCTGTTTATCTGAAACAGTGTCTGTTATAATGATAGAACAGCAAGCTTGCGAAAACCTGACAGGCCAATAATTTTGAAGAATTAACCCATGATACATCACGCGCCCGAGAATGAGAAAAATGTCCTCAGGCATATCAGAAGAACATATTGGAATCTTTTCCTTATCACCTTCGAAACATAAATCGAAGATTTCGTCCCAAAATCTAACTAAGTATGGCTGGATCGGATTTTGCTGATGTCTTTCGTTTTCGTTCACCTGGTGATTTATGCAACAGACGACAACTTTGTGTTCCAAGATATTCAAATACTGTCTGTACACTTGCAAAATACTATGCACCAAATCATTGTCGTCGATGTGTATATAGAATACATTGTCTTTTAACTGGTTCCTCAAATGTTCAGTTCTTTCAAAAATACCAAAAAGATCTGAAAAAGAAAAGAGGGTCTTGATGGGGGTCCTTCATTTTTGTATTCTTAAATATTTTAGGCCATTTTTCTCTATTCTTTATACTTTTTGCCCAATATTCTTTATTCTTTATTTTTTTGGTCCATTTTTCTCTATTCTCTATTCTGTAAACCCCAATCAACACCCTCAGAAAACGATAGACTGGACAAATGGCACACAATAAGGGGAGAAGTATTACAATTGTTTAATTTTATTTATTTCGCAATTACAATAAATTCCTTCATTCACGTAAAGAAGATCATGACAGAAGATCGATCAAAATAAAGGACAATAAAAATAGGAATATGAATCATCCATGAACAATTCAGGCCCTGATAATCGCGTTCTTAAAATAAAACACTTTAACAGAATTATATTTATACAAACATCAAAAAAATATATGTTTTTGTTAATTTACTATAGTAAATCGGAGCACCTGAGATCATCCCCAGTTTTTGGTGGGGTTCGTGTTGCTAATGCAGTCTTTAGTTTCTATGGTGTGTATTATGTATTGTTGTTTGTCTGTTTGTCTGTTGGTCTTTTTATTTTTTAGCCGAGGCGTTATCAGTTTATTTTCAACTTTGAGTTTGAATGTCCCTTTGGTTTCTTTCGCCTCTCTTTCTTAAACATGTGTATGTCCGACAATTTGTCGTCGAAGCATACAAGCAAAATAGGACACGTGATGTTTGTTTACTAATTTGTTAGAAGTTATAAGTTCTTGTCTATAATTGTAATGACATACTGTCATACTGTCGAAAATCAATAAAGCGCATTCATAAAGAAATAGCGTATAAAATAAAATGCTCCGCTGGGCGCAGCTTGATACGACCGCAGAGGTCGAACCCTGAACAGTTGGGGCAAGTATGGACACAACATTCAAGCTTGATACAGCTCTGAATTTGGATTGTGATTAAATATTTGACACAGCATAGGTTTCTGACACAGAATGAATGTGGTCTAAGAACTTAATTTTTTTTAATTTACTCATTATGGTCCAATATCCAAAATCTAAATACATACATGGTTAGATTCAGCATATCAAAGAACCCCAAGAATTCAATTTTTGTTAAAATCAAACTAAGTGTAATTTTGGACCCTTTTGACCTTAATGTAGACCAATTTGAAAACGGGACCAAAAATTAAGAATATAAATACACGGTTAGATTCAGCATATCAAAGAACCCCAATATTTCAATTTTTGATGAAATCAAACCATATCATTATTATTTGCTTTTATATATAAATCAAAAATAACAAACTTAAAATGGAAAATTTTAAAGAAAAAAAAAGGAAAAAAAGGAAAAAAAAAAAAAAAAAGGAAAAAAAAAATCCCCCCCCCCAATTTTTTGAACCCCCTTATGATTCATTACCTCCAAACTCAATCCCAGCCTTCCCTTTGTGGTATGGTACCTTACAGTACAATTTCAGAACACAAGTTATTGTCTGGAAACTGTAAAAATGCTTTTTTTTTTGCCCCTTTTTGGCCCCAAATTCCTTAACGTTTAGGGCAATTACCCCCAAGCTCAAACCCAGCTTTCCCTTTGTGATATGGAACCTTGTAGTACAATTTTATAAAGATCCATACACTTACACACAAGTTATTGTCCTGAAACTAGAAAAATGCTTGTTTTTTGCCCCTTTTTGGCCCCAAAATCCTAAAATTTTGAGGCAATTACCCCCAAACTCAATCCCAGCCTTCCCTTTGTGGTATGGTACCATGCAGTACAATTTCAGAGAGATCCATACACTTGAACACAAGTCATTGTCTGGAAACTAGAAAAATGCTTATTTTTGGTCCCTTTTTGGCCCCTTATTCCTAAACGTTTCGGACAATAACCCTCAAACTCAATTCCAGCTTTCCCTTTGTGATATGGAACCTTGTAGTACAATTTCAGAAAGATCAATACACTTACACACAAGTTATTGTCATGAAACTAGAAAAAATGCTTGTTTTTTGTCCCCTTTTTTTGGCCCCTAATTCCTAAAATTTTGAGGCAATTACCACCAAAATCAATCCCAGCATTCCCTTTGTGATATGGAGCCCTGTGGTACAATGTCAGAAAGATCCATACACTAACACACAAGTTATTGTCTGGAAGTTACAAAAATGCTTATTTTTGGCCCCTTTTTAGCCCCTAATTCCTTAACTGTTGGTGCCATAACCCCCAAAAATCAATCCCAACCTTCCTTTTGTGGTAATGAACCTTATGGTAAAATTTAATAGAGATCCATTCATTTAAACTAAAGTTATTGTCCGGAAACTAACTGCGTCTTCGGACGACGCAGACGACGACATGATAGCATTATACGATTTTGCGGTCGTATAATAAAACGAAGAGATTCCTCTAGGTTGTTATTTATGAGATTTCACAGAATTATTTTTTTCGCGCAGTGGTTAAATAAATTCTCACATCAAATGAAAGATGTACTCTTAAAATGAATAATTATTGATTTATACAATTTATTTGGAACATTTTATGTGTTAACGAAATATGCGGGAAAAACAGTCAACAAATGCCTACGTCTAATATGTTAGATTGTCTCCATTATCAACGAAATATTAGTTTGTACCTTTGAGACCTGCTGGCTGTGATGTATCAGCTTCTTTGTGAGTTGTGTCACGTGGTAATTCCTCTTGTATCACTTTACTAGAACTCACTGTTGTTTCCATTTCAGCATCACTACTATCCGTTTCTATCTTAATGACGAACTGTTCAGTTTCAGTGGCTTCGGGATTCTTTTGAAAAAATAAAACACATATATGAATAAGATATACGGGGTATATGTAAATAAGATAGCAACCCAAAAATTATTTATCATTATAAGTTCATGCACAGATCGATACTAAATGTTGATGAAAAAACAAGTTGAACTGTGAATTATTGCTCACAGTTAATACATCTGCTACAAGTAAATGTATTCAATAAACAGAAGTTGATGATCAATGAATGTAAAATGTATCACTCAGTATTGAATGCTCACATAAACCTTGCCACCAAGTTTCGGCAAGATTTGATTATTCATAGCCTATATGTATTCGTTATGCAGAAATTTGATAAGCGGTAGATGTCATAACACAACATACGGCATAGTATGCCTACAGGACGCTCTGGTTAGTAATTCCTGGGAAAAATACATTATCCTATAGTATAATGAGAACTCTCTAGTCGTCTGTTCTATAATTGTTGGTGTGTGTGCTCTTTGTTCCACTTCTTCTACTTCTTAAAGTGAAAGTCGTTTAATATGATGGTTTGTTCGATTTACTGCATGTGTAGGAACGAAGTATTCAATCTTTACACAAAAGCATAACCGTAGCGATAATTTATATACGAAATTTATAATTGCAGTACTATAATTACCATTTGAACTGTCATAATATGATAACAATATGAAGCATAATAACAATTAAATGATTATAAAAAAATCCATATGTTTCGATTAAGGTATGCTAACAGTACAAAATAGGTACCAGCGGCAGTAATTTTATAACTAATTATCCGATAAAAACACTCTCCCTATGGTCAATTACAGCGTATATATATATTAAAAGGGAGTATCTATCTGAAAACTTAGAGAAGAGAAAAATTCGCAAATTATCGTTGATCTAAAACAAAAAAATATTGTCCCAGCATCAACACAAAATAAACATATTATTCTATTCAGAAAAGATGTGTTGGTTTATTGTAAAAAAATCAACCCTTAGAAAATGTTGGCTTAATGTCGTATAAAATAAAGCTGAGTTTTATAAAATAAACATCAATGAAATTATTTCATGGGGATAAGTACCTTATTTTGAGATTCATGAGAGAGAATTGTATTTACGCTGGAAGTAATAGCATCTGTAAGTTGCTGCTGTTGATCAGAAAAGGTCAAAGAAGCCTCGTCTGATTGTTGTGTTTGGCTTGAATTAAGAGCATCGTCTTTGTTTCTTGGACTAACCATTACTGAATATTCAAACATGTACTCTTCTGGTCCACTAGCATATCTGTACAAGGTTCCTGGTGGTCTGTCGCTAGGATCATCCTGCAAAATATTTAACAAACTAAACAAATACAAATTGTATTTTGCAATTATCTCCTCTTTTCTTATATGTTGGGCCCATAATTATCTTTTCTTTATTTTTTTCAGCCTAATATTATCTATTCTTAATTTTTCGGTCCATTTTTGTTTGTTCTGTATTCACCCATTCAGACCATCTTGAACGTCTTGTCATCGATTCCGCTGCATACTTTGTTGGCTTTTTTCACAGCAATAACAAATAGACTTAAATATGGCGTGTACACAAACAGGAAGCAAACTTTTTAAAATAATGAGATTTTTTTTAAATGCAGAACTCATTTCAATGCTTTTTCTGTAAAATACATTTGGGAGTTTTTTCTCTTTAACAATCGAATGCCTAGTAAATCTGAATGTGTTATACAAATATGTAAGCAGTCTTCACAAGCCATACAACACGGGCCAGTAAAGTATTCTTAAAGAAAGCTTAACAGTCCTTATAAATTTAAAGATTTTTTATGAAACTGTTTTCGGGCTTGACAGTTAACAGGTTTTCGTGAATACTGTGTGCAACTTTTGTACCTTTGTTGTCCTTTTTTGAGCAATCATGTTGGTGAAAAAAAAATTCATAAGAGATCAAAATAATGTTAACTTACATAAGGAATTATAATCAAGCTGCCCTGGTATTTCGTGTCTTTGATAGCTCTTGGTGTATACGTGGCTATCCGTAACAAACGTCTTTGTTTATCTATCTTGTAAATGTCGTAGTTTTTCTTGGCAAGCTTAGGGTAGGTGTTCCTCAAAAAGGAGTCAAATCCTCTTTGTGTTAAATACAGATCTAATTTTGTCCTTGATGGCAAGCCTGAGTTGTAGTCGTTTTGGGGATATCCTTTTATAAAAGAACATAATATATCCATATAATCAATATTCAAGAAGGTTCTCTTATGTTTTCATATTTAATAGATGTTGACATAAATATGTTAGCTGATAAATGTTGTCATGTTTTCTCAACAAAAAAAAGAAGATTTATAAGTATATAGCACGTGCATGAGGAAATGGAAATAAAACAAACAAAAAAGCCGGAGGTGGAACAAAGTCCAATGAATTACTGAGAAGTAATCGGTTTAAATTATCGAATTTCGTCTTCTTGACATTTGCCATGTTTGCTGAAAGAGGTAAAAGCTCAAATCTTATACCAACAAGACATATCATTGGCTGAACAGGGAGCAACCATTTAACTTCAATGGGGTGTTATGGTTTTATGGTTTTTTGTCCGAGTCAGAACATTTTTTTTTAATTTTTCGACGCTATTAATCAAATTATATTTTTTTCAAAATTTAACACTATATATACACTGATTCTCAGCAAATCGGAACCATTTGTCAAAATTATACTTGGAAAAAAAATGTGTGTAAACCAACTTTTAAAATAATGTTCAAATGATTCGTATATGATGTGAAAGATTCCAAAGTGGATCTTAGCTCTTACTGTGAATATAATATCGTGGTCAAGACTATGGGTCACTGTTTTCCACATAACAGATACGTTACCGTCATGTTTTATTTCTTTAGCAAACGAATTTTCATACAAAGTGTCATTGCTTTAATATTTTCCTCCAAAACTATTTTAGAGGTACCTAAGATGCTATTATTAATCATAAATCTTGGTGATGATTAAATGTAACTGTGAAGACAAAAAACATAACAATTAGTTGTTCTTAACTAAATATGTATCAAGATATTAATCAAATAAATGGGGAATGTGTCCATGGGACACAGATGATGCCCCGCTTGCATATAACGTTATAAAGGGACAAAACTCAAGAACTGTAAAGTGACGCAACCCAAAGTTGTACTTGATCTGAGTTTTGTGGTAATTAAGCATTGTGTATACGTTTCATAACATTTATTTGAGGCAAACTTAAGTTAGAGAACGGAAACGAAAAAATCAGCATTTTTTCCATTTTTTTAAAGGGGCATAACTCTAGAACGGCAAAAGTGACGACACCAAAATTCGTACTTGATTTGTGTTTTGTGGTAATTAGCATTGTGCAAAAGTTTCATAACATTTAGCTGAGTCAAACTAAAGTTAGAGAACAGAAACAAATATTTCAGCAATTTTTCCCCTTGTAAAGGGGCATAACTCTGGAAAAGTAAAAGTGACACCACCAAAATTCAATCTTGATCTGTGTTTTGTGGTATTAAGCATTGTGTATAAGTTTCATAACATTTGGTTAAGGCAAACTAAAGTTAGAGAACGGAAACGAAAAATTCAGCATTTTTTCCATTTGCAAAGGGGCATAACTCTGGAAAAGTAAAAGTGACACCACCAAAATTCAATCTTGATCTGTGTTTTGTGGTAATAAGCATAGTGTATAAGTTTCATAACATTTGGTCGAGGCAAACTAAAGTTAGAGAACGGAAACCAATTTTGGGACGAACGGACGGATGTACAGACGGACAAGGGTAAAACTTAATGCCCCATGCATCCGCTACGGCGGGGGCATACATATGTTTACATATCAATTAACAAGAATTGCTCTTGTTAATTTCATATATTTTTTCAAATGTTTATATATCTTATCTTTTTTTTCACCTTGGAAATGAACAGATAACGTATCTGTTGAGAAGACGATATTGAAAACTCTGTTATATCGGTCCTGGAACTATTAATTATAAATAAACTTTAAATATATAATATTTGAAATCAAAGAAGTGAGCGTAACGCTTAAAATTTGAATGAAAAAATAGAGTATAAGATGTAACGTATCTGTTCAAGGCATGCAACAAATACGTTACCATAGGAAACAAATACGTTACTTAATGTTTGCACCCTGAATTACAATACTTTTACGCTATTTTTATCCTGTAGGTACACAATTCAAATGTCTAATTCTTATCTATGTGTTAAAATATCTAAATTAATATATTACATGTATTAGCGAAAAATATATTAAAATATCCAGCTAAAATCAGTACAATTACCAAATTTGACGTTGTCCTTCATATGACTTCGCAAATTGCAGCTCATAACTTGTTGTACTGATGATATTATTCATTGATCATTAAAAAAAAAAAAAAAAAATGTATTAAGGCAGATAGCTCATATGTCTGAATTCCGAAATGATATCGATATTTCATCGTTGATCGAAACATAGTAACGTATCTGTTGGTACAGTATCTGTTTAACAAATTATTCTTGGTCCGTTATTTCAAAAATGTTTCTAATAACAGGACATTTTCACTGTTGAAAAGGAAGATCAAATATGTAAAAACATATTTATGCAGTTAAATAGATCCCGTTGAAGTGGTTAATTTTTATGCAAGTGGTTAATTTTTATGCAAGTGGTTAATTTTTATGCAAATGATTCCACAGTAACGTATCTGTTCAAAATTAACGTACAAAAGCCATTTCCCAGTTTAGTAGCTTATCAATTTTCTAAATTTTATAAATACACATCAAATAATTTTGTTTTGGTTACATCTATGGACTAACACTTCAAAAGCAACATAGTTATTCTTTCAATTCAATTGACCTTTAGATAAATGAAGAGTCTAATTGAAGGTATGGGGAAAATCAGAATATTTTTTTTGTCATCTGCTTGACCACAATATTTGTTTTTCATCAAATTGGGGATCAGAATATTTCAAACCATACAATCCCATCCCCCTTTTTTGAAGATAAATGGTCGTTCCCTAACAAGAAGCTTAAGTTATACTTAATCTATCCGAGTAGGTGAATGATTGGTCGATTGCCTAATGGCTACTTTACAACAAGCAGAAAGTATTGCATATTCAAGACAATAACATGTCCTGAATAAACTTGCACCATGCTTTGCACTTCACCGCTACACTGCGTGGCTTTTGACCCTTTATCTAATCTAAATATCGCTTGCATGCCTCAGAAGCAATTAATACCATTTTAAGAAGCCTTTCGACCCAACCGGCCATCAAACAGAATGCCTTTCTCGTGGCAGTCAAATATATTACCAAGAAATGTCGATCCGGGCGGTAATTTTTGCCATTTAAATGAGGTTATCTTCATCCCGCGATAGATTGAACATTTAAAAAAAATGAAATGTTGTCAATTGTTTGAAAATAAACGATGCTTTTAACAGACCAATGTGCGATTTCCAGCCTTAAAAACGGTCCACGTGATGGTTATTCCTCACATCCTATCACAGCTGTCATACAACGAGCTTGCCAGCATCAAATAACAATACACTATTATATTACCAAAGCCTTGGTCTTGATGCTGCTTCACAATAGCTCTCTCCGTTTCGTCTGAAGATGAAAATCTTGGTAACTTAGAAGATTTATCTGGTAGACAGTATATATATCTCTGGAAAGTAGCCTTTTCCTTTGGTCCCCTCTTGGATTTGGTCCCTTGCATAACCTTCAATGCTTGTAAAATTTTAGGATTTGTGGTATTTAGTCCCATTTTCGTCATAACATTCAGTGCATTTGTAGGAGGCATATGTTTCCTGTTGGTTGTGGTTGATTGTCTGGGGATTGGTTTAGTAGGAAAGCTAGGTGCTGATGTTACTTCAGTGATCATGACGTCATTGTCGTCTTCGTCGACAGGTGTCGCTTCTTGTGATTGGTTTCTTTTATCTGACATAGCTGGAGGTATGTGGTACCATTAAATTCTGTTTGAAAATAATAAAATTAATTATTAATTGTGATTCTTACACTCAGGGCATTAATGCTAGCATAAAAGTAACAAACGTGTAAATATCAACAGAGAAGCCCTTAGAAATATCATTGAAAATTGATTGTTTAATTTCTTATCACGGCAGATGATTGTACTTTTTAAAACTGCTGTCAGCGGTATTGTCCATCTTTAACCACGGATGCTGCTAATGTAGCAGGATCTGCTTTCCCTTCCGGAGCGCCTGAGATCATCCCCAGATCTTGACGTGGCTCGTGTTGCTCAGTCTTTAGTTTTCTATAGCTGTGAAGTGTTTTGTGAACTTTTCGTCGTCTTTCTGGGTTTTGTTTGCCATGGCGTTGTCAGTTTATCTCGACTTATGAATTTTGAATGTCCCCATGGTATCTTCTTGTTTTTTTTCCCCATCGTGTTAATAAAGCCTTGTGTACGCTCGCTTTCTGGTAGGGTTTCTGGTGGTCAGAGAAATAAGTTTTTATGTGGCACGTTTAAACTTAACAATGTTTAGTCGTAAACAAGTTTTGCTTTTAAATCCTTTTTGGTTAAAAATAAAATTCTAATGTAGAAAAAAAAGTCTCCATCATGTTCGTATCCACCGGCAATTGTCTCTGAAATAATAAATCCTATTTACCTTAATTTAACACAGGTATATAGGATTTTTTTTTTCAGAGACAAGTGCCCGTGTTCGTATCTGTTTCTGGTGATACTCTACACAGTACTATATGTGCACTTAATAATCGATACTGCTCTTTCAATATACTCCGCCTTTAGCATTATTAGTGGAAGGCCATTTGATCTTTCTTTGGAGATGGAGGTGGGGGGTCAGGAGAATTTTTTTGTGGATGGAATATGACTGTTTTTAGTACGGCTTATTTGTTTTGTGCAAACATTTGTGTACACAACTATTTCCTTAAATGTCCTGCATGTTGTAGCACAGAATATTGATTTTCAATCTGTCTTAGACAAAGTTATTTTTTCAGTTTTATGAAGGCCTGAATATTCCAGGCGGTCTAATCATTCCATGAATCAAATATAGTTGACCTATTGCATATAGTATCTAAGAAACAAACTTAACTAGGAAAACTTAACTTTGAACAATGAACCATGAAAATGAGGTTAAGGTCAGATGATACCTGCCAGACAGACATATACACCTTACAATCATTACATACACCAAATATAGTTAACCTATTGAGTATAGTTTAAGAAAAAAAGACCAAAACACAAAAACTTAACATTGAGTTATGAACACTGAACATGAGGTCAAGGTCAAACTTTAGTAAAACCTGCCAGGATGACATGTACATCGTAAAATATTTCTATACACCAAATATAGTTGACCTAATGCATACAGTATTAGAAAAACAGACCAAAACACAAAAACTTTAACCACTGAACCATGAATATGAGTTCAAGGTCAGATGACACCTGCCAACTGGACATGTAAACCTTAAAATCATTCCATACACCAAATATAGTGGACTTATTGCAAATAATATTCGAGATATGGACTTGACCACGAAACCTAACCTTGTTCACTGATCCATGAAATGAGGTTGAGGTCAAGTGAAAACTGTCTGAAAGACACGAGGACCTTGAAAGGTACGCACATACCAGATATAGTTATCATATTACTCATAATAAGAGAGAAATTAACATTACCAAAAATCTTAACTGTTTTTCAAGTAGTCACTGAACCATTAAAATGAGGTCAAAGACAATGGACATTTATGTATTTATTTTTATAGATCAAGTAGTTGATCCACAAAACCTCTTATCCTCTGATAACTTGCCCGACTTTGGCTATACTTTTTTGTCCTTTTTGGATTATAGCTCTTCATCCTTTTAATAAGCTTTAGATTTTCAAATTTTTAGACATCGAGCATCACTGAAGAGACATTTATTGTCGAAATGTGCATCTGGTGCAGAAAAATTGTTACCGTTAATGTTATTACTACCACAGGGTCGATGCCTCTGCTGGTGGACTGTTAGTCCCCGAGGGTATCACCAGTCCAGTAGCCAGTATTTCGGTACTTGCATGAAAATCCGGATTTTTTTGTTATTTGAATTTGCTGTTACGAAATTTACGAAATTATCTTAAATTAAGGAATATATCTCCCTCATGCAAAGCTCTGATCCCTTGTCCGAATTTGGCTATACTTTTTGTCCTTTTTGGATTATAGCTCTTCATCCTTTAAATAAGCTTTGGATTTTCAAATATTTAGACGTCGAGCATCACTGAAGAGACATTTATTGTCGAAATGCGCATCTGGTGCAGAAAAATTGGTACCGTTAATGTTATTACATGTATCATGAAAACATCAAGGAATGACTGAGATATATAGAAATATTGTCATCCTTGGACCTTCTTTACATGCAAGAAAACTTGCGCAACAGAGGGGCGTCAATTTGGTTGTTTGGATTGCATAAATATGCAGTCAAGTCTGGCTGAAATAAGGACTTTCTATTCTATTCTTCATGCAGAGAAACACTTTCAGGAGTCCGTAGGTGGACTGTTGCAAGGCAAAATTTCTACGTTGGCAACATATCCTCATTTCCCGCGGTAGTCAAACTCCCGCACTTTATTCCAGTATACACAATTTGTAGGAAACTATCATTTGGATAGATTGTTACTTTTTTCTCGCACCCCCCCCCCCCCCCCCCCCCCAGTATCTGCATGATCCTAACAACAATTATTCTCACGGCATGTACAGTTAAAATTGTGAGAGATTTACTTTTCCGATAGACGTAATCTTCCTACACTTTTTTTTTTTGGCATAATATGACACTCGTTTTTTACTGTTTCTTATAATTTCAAATAAACAAAAAATTAAAAATTAAAAATAAATCTTCTCTTTGAAATCTCATATATTATATCATGTATGTGCATGATGAATAACACCATGAGTCAAACTCAAAAATCAATAATATTACGAAAGTATGCATACAAAATTTAACATTTATCTTTAATGTTATATTCATATTGTACTGTGTTTCTTCCACACGAATAAAAAATGATATTTTCCATATCAAACACACTTATTGTAAATTCTAATATTTACGTAAATAAAATCTGGTCCCGATGTTTACTTTTACTTTAAACAAATATCAGAAACGATAAATTAAAAAACAGAGAAACGTGTTTTACATATCCAGACGGTTATAATATTATAAGACAACATTTAGCGCTTTTGATGTTTTGTAAGCTTATAAGACAACATTTGGATTGTTACGAATCTTTTGATGTTTTATTAGCAAATAAATCTTAAATATAAAATGATGAACGCTTAATACAATACAACGTTGTAGTTAATACCTTAATTATGATTAAAAATAAGGTTGATTGAAATTAATTATAATAATCTAGATATAATTAGCAATCATTCAACAATCTATCAACATAATCAATTTACATGTAAATATTATAGTGTCTAATAAACACCATAAAGGAAAGAGATATGCATAAACTAGGACACGTCACATGTACATAAAATCATTATTCACGAGTATTTAGAATTTACAGTTATTTTTAGAAAATTATATGTTAACTGAACAATACTGAAACTAGAAATTTGTATAGTACATGCAGATATTCTTTTCGTAAAAAGTCTGGACAAACCACTGACATTGTTACCTCAGTATTGATTCTCCTTGATAGCACGCGGCTTTTACGAGGAAATACAGGAACTCAGTTACCAAAAATATTGGACAGTAAAACAGACCACACCAACCCCTGACAACCGGCCGACTCATCAGATCAAATAGCCGTACAAAGAAAGACAAACATGTGGTTTAGTTAGCTTGACTTGGTATATAGCAAAAAAAGCTGACGCGAAATTAAAACAAATTTAACGTGCGCACATACCACCTATATTTGAACAGTAACATTGTGAACTAGAATAGTAAAAACCCAGCTCAATTGAGAAAAATGATTATTTCATACGTATATCACATTATTACTTCGTATTCTTTTTTCGATTTTAAAAGTTATCCTGATGATATTTTCAGTCTCATTTTTTTTTTCAATCAGTCGACACGAACTGTATTTCAGCTGAAGAACGGCAAATAAACGCTCTCCCATGTACTTTCGTGTTTTTTCAAGTACTATAGAGTGTGTAGGAGTTTGGTGGTAGGAGTTAATAATACTATCTTCTTCTTTTTAACCTTTTTGTGATAGTATATTTTATGCGCCATATTTTTTTTTCATGACCCGTGCTCGTTGACGTATTACTGTCTTGTGTGCATCGTGCATACTCCCACATGTCCTACCCTGTATTTGTTTCCGACAGTCATTTGAGAGGGGCGTGAAGGGGGGGGGGGGGTATCTGCACGGAAGAACGCGAAATAAAATTGCCATTTCACGATGAACGAACAATTAAAAATTTCTTGCACGTTGATCTTTTTACCGATTTCACGAAACACGGTGAATAACGAACCTTTTTCACGGCTGCACGTGAAATAAAAATGGCAAAACACGTTGCACGAAAATAACCCTTTACCACCCTCATTTGACAGAGCAGAATATCTGTGTCAAAGATGACCAGGGATGTGTTCCACAGTCTTGTCCACTTTCCCTCGAATGTGCAATCAACGAAGGATACCTATAATCACCGGGTTTTTACTTGTATGAAAACCCCAGGTGTTGGGTGGGGTCCGTGTTGCTCAATCGTTAAGTTTTCTATGTAGTACGGATTTGTTCGTCATGTTCGTCAGTCTTTTCGTTATTTACGTTTTTTTTTGCTAAGGCGTCATCAGTTTTTCTCCGACTTGTGAGTTTTGAATATCCCATTGCAACCTTCTGCTTCTTTTTTTATGCACTATGATGCAATAAAGAATGCAATAAAATTAATCTCGTCTTATCTAATAAAAACATGATACAGAGTATCAAACATAAAACACTTAGTAGAATCTCAGAGTAGAATAAACATGACAAAGCCCTACACAAAAATGGGTATCTTGTCAAGTAATTACTGGGTTTGA